AGAGGAGAAGAGAAGGGGGAGGGGGGAGGAGGGGGAGGAAGAGGTAGAGGAGGAGGACGTGGTGGTCCCTGGGAACACCAGACCCACAGCAGCCCCAGGAGACGGGCAGCAAGAGCCTCCCAGAGAAGCACCTCTCACCTGACCACGGTTGTAGATGTGGTACCTCACCAGCTCCTGCAGTTTGGAGAGACCCTGGCAGGAGAAAAAGTGTTTGGCTCCTTGTGGCCCCACTGGGGATAGAGCCCTGCTACCCCCAGACCTGCAGGTCCTTCTCCCTGCTGAGCTTACTGCTGTGAAGAGATAGATCAGACGGCCGTCACGCAAGCTGTCCACAGCCTTGTTGCTTGGGACAAAGACCGTGAAGGGCCCAGGTCCGTCCAGGATGGAGGGCAGCCCACAGTTCTGCAGCAGTGAGAAGGACGCTCAGGGTCTCCACGGCCAGCCTCTGCCTCGGGGCCCACAGGGAACTCCCACCAAGTGGGAAACAGGGACAGTGGGTCCGTGCTGCCACAGAGCCTGGGACTGGGATGAGCAGGCTCTCGGAGTGAGGAAGGCAGAGGCCAGGCTATTCCAGAACCCCAGAGCACCGTGAGGTAGCCCAGGGCAATGAGGACCCTGGTCCAGAAGCCCAGGAGGGCTGGACCACCCCCAGCTCACCTCCAGAATGGTTTCAAATCGGCTGAAGACCTCATTAGCGGCAAGGATCTGGCTAACGGTTTGCTGTTGGAAGGGACACATGTGAGAGCTCCAGAAACAGGGTGAAGCTGCTTCAGACTGAAGGGAAAGGAACCTGGCTCCCTCCTGCCTGACAAGCACTGCTCCCCTTCTCCCTGAATCCTGTCAGTCTCAGTGGTCAGCCAGCAGCACCGGGGTGGGAGGGGTGCTTGCTCACCTTGGGGCTCCCAGGGGTCGTGGGCAGGGGCTGCCAGTGCAGGGGAGTGACCACATGGAAGACACCGTTGGAGGCCACGTTGTTGGCCTTTTGCACGGTGAATGTCTGGTGGGGTTGGTCGCTGTACTTGTAGGTGTATCTCTGCTGGGACACGAGCCGTCTCTCACACGCCATCTCCTCCCACCTCCCACTGGCCAGCTGACCTCCACCTGGGACCCCCACGGCCCAGGCTGCAGTCTCCGCCTTACCAAGCTGTTGAAGAGGACAGTTATCTCCTGGCCAGCCAGCGTCCACCACGTGTGCGCACTCGGGAACAGCCCGTCCTCCAGGATGTGCTGGCCCGCGATCACGTGCTGTCGGCAGAGCTGCTGGGCAAGCAGCACCTGCACACCGCAGGGTGGGGGCCGCATGAGCCACAGCCGGGCCGCCCTGCACAAAGGGGGCGAGCGCCTCCCAGGCTCCGCTCCCTGAGTCAGGACAAGAGAGCTCAGGCTCTGAGGGATGGGGCTGCATCCAAGGGGGGAGGCAAGGGGCTCACGTTCATGTTCCCGGAGACGGAGGAGACGGAGGTGGCAATGGGCACCAGCACAGTGAACGGGCCTGATGTGGTGAGGATCTCCTGGCAGCCCTGCTCTGGGTGGCCGGGAGGGCGCATCAGAATAGATTCAGGCAGCCCCTGGGGAGATCTCAGGCGGCCATCCTAGGCTGGGAGCTGGGGGTGCTGGGTCTAGGTAGGGTGAACCGGCAGCGGGCCAGGGGCCGTGTCCCGCTTCCTCACACCCAGCTACAGCCGTGTCTTTGCTTCCCAGCTCTCAGGCAGAGACTGGAGTCTTTGCAGACTGCGGCCCACCCTCTCCAGCACGGGGACACGGCAGGCCTGGGGACACTCACCCAGCATGGTGAAGGTGGCTCTCAGCCGCTGGAACAGCGTACCCATTTCGCTGGCCTTCTGCACCTCGTGGAGCAGGTGCCCGTAGCAGGCACGACCATCCCCCACCTCGCCCTCCTTGCACAGACATCTGGGGCGCAGGGAGGACCGGTCAGGGCCGGGATGGGGGCCAGTCCCCTCTCCTGGCCCTCATCCACCACCCCTGCAAGGCCCCCGGACCTGAGTGTGCACACTGCCCAGCCCACCCTCTCTGCTCCACTCTCGCACTCCCCCTGAACCCCTGTGCCCACCTGGTCCTCCCTTCAGGGGTCACTTGGCAGGTGGCTGACTTTTCACAGGTGTGGGGGAAGCAGTAGCCAAAGCAGCCCGCAGAGGCATTGTGGTTGATGCTCACCAGGCCTGGTTGGCACGAGCAAGTGGCCTGGCCAGATTGCATCCAGCTGTGAGAATCTGGGGGAACTACTGGCATAGGCCTCCCACCCCATAACCCCCCTCCAGAAATGGCACTGTCACCCTCTCCCCACCTTACAAATAGGGTGGCTATTGTTCTCACAGGGGCTGTGACTAGCCCCTCCCACGCCAGAGCAGGTAGAAGGATGGTGTGGCAGGCCCACCTGGGCCCTGGCTCTCACCTTGCCTGGCTTCTGGTACAGGCACACGGTAGAGTTGCTGGGGCAGCCACCAAAGTTGGTAGCGCACGGGTCCCGGGGCAGACACACCTTCCCGTCACCGTGGTAGTTCTCAGGGCAGCGACACTGAGCCTGTCCCTTGGGACTCACCGAGCAACGGGCCATCGGGGAACAGGGTGATGACTGGCAGGGGTCACGAGCTGCCAGGGCCGAGCCAGCCCACGTGAGTTAGGCACCCAGAAGCTCCATCTCCACAGCTCCCACCACATGGCCTGAAGCCAGGCTGTGTGGGGTACCTAGGCCTTGAAGCCTGGACCCCTGCTCCTCTGTAATCAGCCACAGTGCAGCTGCTGAGGTAAAAGGATGCCCGACGAGTCCCACCCCTGTGAGTCACAGGCTCACCTAGGCATGTGCCCCCCTGCTGGGTGTAGCCAGGCAGGCACTTGCAGGTGGGAGCCTCTTCAGAGCACTGGGAGTTCGGGGGGCAGTTCAGGCTCCGGCAGACAGGCAGCTCTGAGAAGGGAGGAGGGAGCACTGCAAGGGCCCGAGAACCACCATCCTCTGCCCAACCTGCCATGGGATTCTGGGCAGGGCCTTGCCCTCTCTGAGTCTCCAGACAGTGGCCATCCCAGAAGGCAGCCCTGTTCCCTGTGAGGCCGGGGGCACAGCTCCTGTGGAAACTCAGCTCTGCCTTTATCTAGGTGGCCTCCCTGCCCTGGCCAGAGAACCCACTGTCCCAGGCTGCCCCAGAAGCATGCCCACCTCGGTCACAGTGGAGGCCAGAGTACCCAGCAAAGCACAGGCAGCTTCCATTCCCCTGTGGCCCATTGCTGCACACGCCGTGTACACAGCTGCACTCTGGGAAGGACACACCGGATAGGAGAGACTGCAGCTGCACCAAGCCACATGCAGGGATGCCAGGCTCCTGCCCTCTGCATGTTTAGAACTCAGCTGTACTGGTGTAACCCAGGAGTTCAGAGCTGGGGTGCAGCACCTCGGGTAGGGTCCTGAGAAGCCACCTGGCCCTGCCTGGGGCTCAGGGAGAGAGGCTCCTTTTAAGGCTAGGGAGGGGCAAGGAGGGCGAGGAAGGCGTGCTTACCCGGAGAGGGAGTGCAGGGCTGAAAGATGGGAGAGGGTGGAGGGAGGGGGGTACTGGTCGTGGGGACCCAGCAAGCCCTACCTGACTGGCAGTCAGCCCCAAACCGGTGGGGGTCTCGGCACTCCTGGCAGGCTGAGCCACTGAAGTTTTCCTGGGGAAGCCACCGAGTCAGCACGGCCTCTCCAAGTGCCCTGGCCCCACCCCTGCTCAGGCCTTACCTGGCACACACAGGTCCCATTCCCAGCCATGCCATCCAGGCAGGTCCCGTGGCCACTGCATGGGGTCTTAGCACCCCCGGGGCACTCTGTGGATCCCAAGAATTCAGCTCTGGTCCTCCAACTCTCCACGTGCCCCTTTCCCGGTCCCTCCCCAGGGCGGCCAAGGCTGGGAGGCTGAGTCAGGGAGGCTTTCAGAGGTGGTCTTTAAATAAGTAAGTTGGGGGACATCGGCAGCTCCCACAGGTGGGGAGCCCAGGGCAAGGTTTAGGGATGGTGTGGGTGGACAAGGCAGATCTCTCGTACCATAGCACTGCGAGCCCCAGTAGCCAGGGCAGCAGGCCTTCTGTACCACATCTTTCCAGCACTCTGTACTGCAGCCACTCATGGACACCAGTGAGTCCCCCAGCTGCACCTCGTAGCTGGGGACACAGGGGACAGAGAGGGGAGGGCTCCCACCTGTGAGCCGCCCCTCCCCCTCCCCACCTGGGCTCCTGGCTCCCGCGCCACCTCTTCTTTCTCCCTGGCCCAGAGCTGAGCACAGGGCCTGGTACACAGTGGGTGCCCAATAAATGTCATCTGCCCCTCTACCTCCCTGGAGGGTACAAAGATGCTGGGTGCCTTTCCCTCACTCCGAGGGCCTGTCCCCTGCCACCCTACAAGACGATTCTGGAAGCTGGCCGGGAGGGGAACAGGTCCATACCGGCAGTTCTGCGTTATCTTGTCTGGGAAACGGTGAAGCAGCCAACCAGGAGGACACATCTGCCTCTTGATGGCGCACGAGGTGCAGGGTACATGAGTGATGAACTTGGTCTTCACGTCACAGCGCTTGGACTGTACCTGGACCACAGGTGGAAGGCAGAGTGAGGGACTCTGCCCTGAGGCAGGCCTTGCGCCCTTCCAGGACTCAGTTTCCCATCTGCTTAGAGCGATGTAAAGAAGTTGGCGAAGGCCCTGAGAAACCTGTCAGGAGTTGTTAATGCCCAGCATGGCCTTGTATCCAAGCCAGAAGCCTCAGTCAGTACCTTCTGACCGAGGAAAACCATTCCCACGTTGTTATACCTCAGCCCATTTCAGGTGAGGAAACTGAAGCCCAGGCTGGTGGCCCTGGCCCAGTCACTCGGGAACAAGGTGGGAACCAGGGATGGGAACGTAGACTCCCAGCCTAGTGCTCATCTTTGCCTTTCATTTAAAAAAAAAAAAAATGCAGCATGGCTGACCCTGCTTGGAAGAATACAGGGACTCCACCCTGAATCAACGGGCACCAGACCTGGAAGGGGGCCCAAGACTGCAGCTGCACCCTCTCCCCTGCCTGGGTCAGATGCCAAGAGTGGCAGATGTAAGAGGCGGTACTCGTATGTGGGCAGCAGCAGGCAAGAGGTCCGACCCACACCTGTTTGGGCCAGTGGCAAGTTCTCCAAGCCTGGACACAGGCAGGGACCCAGGGCCCGCAGGATGGCAGCAACGCCAGCCGCAGAGGGACCCGGGAGCACTGTACAGCAGATTCCCAGAGCCTAACCCAACCCTAACCCTAACCCTAACGGAATGAACAGCTGGAGGACCTGAAGGCTGCACGATCAGCCAGGGGCAGCAGCAGCACAGGGCAAAGGCAGGGAGGGGCACAGGGAGGAGAGGGGCCGGGGCCAGGCTGACGAGCGAGCGGCCTCACAAACCCGGGCGAGGCCGGGCTAGGGACGGCCTGGAACTTTACTCTTAAAGCGCGAGCCAGCGGAGCAGGGTGGAAGGGAGGCACCCTGAGCCCCTGAAGGTGCCTAGGCTGAGGTGGGAACAGTGGGATGAGTTTGGGGTGGAAAATGCGAAAAGGTCGCGCCTGTCCCCGTAGGCCCATTAACGGGCCTGCCACAGCTTCTAGAAGTCCCCATTAGGGCTCTTTTTTATGGGGACAAAGTATCAACAAGTTACAGGGCAGTTCTGCCCCGGAGGGGAGAACCTAAACTCACAGCTGGGAGAAAAAGGGTGGTGAGCAGGGTAGTGGAGGGCTCCGAGCTCGGCTTAGAGAAGCGGAGACGTTCCCGTCTCGAAAAATGCTGAGCACACTTTGGTCCAAAAGGAGCAAGCCCGGAATAACTTTCTTGGAACAAATTACAGATGTGTGGCTTCTCGAAGCAAGACAAAAGGAGAAACAGTCTGTGAGCATGCGGGTCCCAGGGCCTCTCGGTTGCTGTGATTTGGCTTTTTCCGCTCATGCCTCTGCGGTCTACAAAGAGGGAAGTTGCCAAGGGCGGCCTCAGTGGCTGGCTGCGGGGCTGCATTATTGTGGTCTGTGGGGCTGAAGTATTATGGTCTCATACCCTACCCCGAGGTTCATCTTTGTTGAGCCAGGGAGCCACTAGGAAATTGAGTAACTCAGGGCCTAGCAGCTGCTGGCTCAGGGTAAAGTCCTGAGGCCAGCACTCAAGAGGAATGCTCGTCGGGCCTGGTAAGGCCTGGCTCGGGTGCCTAGGAGAGCGCTGCTCCCTCTCAGGGCCAGCCAGGGTCCAGGAGGAAGCTGGGGTCCAGGAGGAAACTGGAGCTTTTTTTTTTTTTTTTTTTTTTT